ATCAGCCACAAGCAGACCCTTCAGGGCTTTGAGCAGCAGAAGCTTCACCAGGGGAAATGGTGATGTTCCGATTAGCTATTTTCTTAGACCTTCTTGTCATTGGATGTGACTTGTTCCAGCTTGTGGGTCTTGTGCTTCGTGATCTCTTGCACTTTTGAAGGAATGGTTTCGTCTATAAGTTTATCTTTAGAGAGCCCTGAACCTCTGCTTGTTCCCCTCTTTCCAAAAGAATATCAATGATGATGATGTGATCACATCTTGTCTTTGAACAGCAAGTCAAGTCCCCTGTGAGTAATTCCATATGAAAGGGTCACATCCTGCTCATGACCTGACAGTTACTTAAATTTAATCACTGCTGTTAGAAACAGACCTTTTAAAAAGGGCAATCTGACCCATTAGTAGAGTTTAAAATGCCAAAGCCTTTCCAGCCAGCTTTTTCCCGCTTTTACAGTTTGCAAATCCTAAGCATAACACGGGAGTGGTGCTTTTTCCTGCAGAGTATACCTGTGTGTGGCTGTTGTTTCTGAGTAAACAGCCCGGGGCAGGGATTACACAACCTGGTAAAATACTTCCATTGACCTGGACCAAGTCTGAGACATTTAGGAAACAATAACAGTATTAGCAAATGCATTCCTCTCTCCTTATTGTCCCTTACAGATGTACAGACTAAGATTAAATCACTGTCTGTGTCAGAGCCTTGAGCAAAATCCTTGTTGCTGTGGTCTGTTCTTCTGTGACCCTCGGACTTTGTGTTGAAATCCTAACCCTTAAGGAGATGGTACCAGATTTCTTTTCACTACCCCATCAGAGTTAAGATGTTTGTTGTTGTTTTTTTGTTTTGAGGTTTTGGGTTTTTTTTTTTTAATTTATTTTATGTGTATGGATATTTTGCCTGTGTGTCTATGTGCACCACGTGCATGTCTTGTGCCCTCAGTGGTCAGAAGAAGGAGTTGGATCTCCCGGAACTGGAGTTGTAGGTGGTTGCGAGCCACCACGTGGGTGCTGGAAACCAAACCTGATCTTCCATAAGTGCTCTTAACTGCCGAGTCATCTCTCCAGCCCCCTCCTCCCCAAAGTTAGAATTTTTGTACTGATTCTGTTGCTTAGTGAGCAAGATCTCCTAAGACATAACAGAAAAGAGAGGAACCATTCGGTCCCTTTACTGAAGTCTCTCATCGCTGAGGTGTAAGTATCCATTGGTTGTTTCTTCTTTCTTCCTTTTTTTTTTTTTTTGTTTTGTTCTTGTTGCTGCTGTTGTTATTACTATAATCAGTTAGGAGTGCTCCTGAGACTGGAGCAGTGGGATCATCCCTCATGAGCTGCGAGAATCCCTTCCCCAGAAACAGTCCTTGTTGCTTTGCAGCAAGTTAACTGACTCATGTGCACTGACTCGTGCTGGGGCTTGCTGGGCACAGAGGCTGTATTCGGAAACCACCACAGAGGCGTCTGTCCTAGAAGATGGGTGTTTTTCTTCAGTGTGTTTTTAACTCCACATTTCTTCAAGGGAGAGTATGATCTAACAAATATGCCCTCAAGCCAATCCAAGGGTCTCTGCTTAAGCAATAGGCTACTGGTCAGTTTTTCTCTGGGTTTTTCTCCTGTTCTGCGTCTGACTACCTTGAGTTCATCTCTCTTGACAGAGTTTATTTGCCTCCTTCACTCTTAAAGAGAAGCTTTGTTTGTGCACTTTTGTTGTTGTTTTTAGTGCCTGTGCTGGTTAGCTTAGTTTGAAAGGTCACCACAACTTAGAGTCATCTGGGAAGAGAGTCTCAATGATGTATTATCAAGGTTAGGTTGGCCTGTGGCTGGTGGTCCTGATTGTTGATTTACATAGGGAGAGCCAGTCCACTGTGGGCAGCACCATTCCCTAGGCAGGGGTCCTGAATAATATGAGAGGGGAAAGCTGCCCGAGAGCAAGCCGGTAGGCGTGCATTCTCTGCATCATTACGTGACTGTGATATGACCAGCTTTCCCAAGACTCTGTCACTGTGAGTCCCCCCACGGTGATGTATAACCTGGATTGTGAGCAAAATCCCCTTCTCTCCTAAGTTGCTTGTTGTCCGAGTATTTTGTTGGCAACAGAAACAAAGCCAGAATAGCGTCTACCCCTTCCTGGCAGCCTCAGGGAGTTTCAGAGGTTTCCTTGATTTGAGGCCCATCAAAATGCCAGGCTCCCATGTTGGCAGAAGAGAGTGCAGAAGCAGATGTTCCACAGGCAGCAGTGGCCAGTGCCAGCCACTGTGGTATCCCATTTCACCCTCACATTTGGGAGGAAGTGGCTTTGTCCCTACTTTTAAATACTGGAAGATCTAAGGCAAGCAGCTAGTGAGTAGTAGAGCCAGCCTGGTGGTCATTCCCTAAAATCCATGTGTAGTCAGGAGGCAAAACTAATCTAATTCTTTGGTAGAGGGAGCAGACCTTCTACAGCAGTGCTTTTACTGCTATAGAAGCCATGCCGGGTTGCTCTTCTATCAAACTATAGCTTATCAATTTCCTATTGCTGCCGTAACAAATTAATTGCAAACTGAGGGGCTTGCCACAAATGTATCGTCTTATTATTTGGTTAGTAGTTTAACATGAGTCTCACTGGACCTTTAAAAAAAAAAAAACAACTGTTAGCAAGGCCATACTGCTTTCTGCGAGGTGCTTAAGGTGGAGTCCCTGTCCTGACTCTTGGTCCCCTATACTCTTGGCTTATGGCCCACATCCATCCAGTGCCAATGATGATGGATGAGGTTCTTGTCATCTCTCTGACATTTACACATCTGCTGCCCTCTTGTAGGACTTCTCTAATGATGACGTTGTTGTAGCTGGAGTTTTCCTGCCTTGCCCACAATCAGGGAAAATCTCTCTCACCCGCCAGTCCCACAGCTGCTCAGACCCAACCAAGTAAACACGGAGACTTATATTGCTTACAAACTATATGGCCATACCAGGCTTCTTGCTAACTGTTCTTACAGCTTAAATTAATCCATTTCTATAAATCTATACCTTGCCACGTGGCTCGTGGCTTACCAGCATCTTCACATGCTGTTTGTCATCGTGACTGGCAGTGTCTCTGACTCAGCCTTCCACTTCCCAGCTTTATTCTCCTCCTTGTCCCGCCTATACTTCCTCCTGCCTGACTACTGGCCAATCAGTGTTTTATTTACTAACCAATCAGAGCAACACATTTGCCATACAGAACATCCCACAGCACTTCCCCTTTTCTTTCTTTCTTTTTTTTTTTTTTCAAAAAGGAAGGTTTTAACCTTAACAAAGTAAAATTAAATGTAATTTGGGGATTTGGGCATAGCTTCTCTTACTGCTTCCTGCTGGAGGGGGGCGCTGTATCTTATGGGGACACAAAGAAAATTTTAGGATTATGGAATAGTCCATGAGGCTGTATTGTCTGAGCCAGTTGCCTTCAAACCATTCTGGATGTTGGATCATCTGGGCCATGGTGTCATCAGAGACCTTTCAGGTGGTCTTGGCTGGTCAAACCTGATGTATCTTAATCTGGAACAAATCCATAGCCTCTTTCTTTCTGTGGAAACAAAAGCAGAGCCTGCTTTCCAAAGCAACATATCCTTACATCCAAATTTTGAAGTCAAGTTATCTTTAAAATATACATATTGGTTTAACTCAACATCTTTTACGATCAAATGTTTTTCTGCAGTTAAAAATCCCAAAGACAACACAATCCAGATTCTCTGTGTAATATTCATCTTTACGTGGCTTATTTTTTATATTAATTTTACTGTCTCTTTAAAGACTTTATTTTTTAAAACTATATATTTGTATAACTGTATATATCACCTTTTTTGTATCTTTTAAGCCTACGTGTATTTTATACACATTGTAAACTATTACATCTGAATCTGTCTTATTGTGAATCTATTGCTTTAAACTGCAGCATTTGTAAGACTAAAACAGCACTGTGGCTGCTGCCTCTGCCCACCTCAGCTTCCCAACATAGCGGTGGTGGTGCGTTTACCGCCAGCTCTGGGAGCTATTGTGGGTCTATGCTTTTATCCAAGCAGCGTGTAGCCCAGAAACCTCTTTTTTTGTTTTGTACTAGCAAAGGCTAAATCCACCACGCAGCTTAATGTGCCACTTGCAGAGGCCTCATTCCCGCCATAGATTTCTAGCAGGGCGGTGGTGGCGCAAGCCTTTAATCCCAGCACTCGGGAGGCAGAGGCAGGCGGATCTTTGTGTGTTCGAGGCCAGCCTGGTCTACAGAGTGAGATCCAGGAAAAGCGCAAAGCTACACAGAGAAACCCTGTCTCGAAAAACAAAAAAACAAAAAAAAAGATTTCTAGCAAAACACTTGAAATAAAAAAACTTGAGATCTTGTTAAAGTGGATTGAGAAGCAAGCCGAGCAAGGAGACAGGTTCCCTGTGGAGCAGGACAATCCAGCTGCTTTCTTCAGAGGATCAATGGCCTGGAAAAAATGTGACTAGGGTCAAAGCAGGAATTATTTTTACCTTAAATATATGACAGTCAAATGTGGGTTAGGACCTTGTATGGACTGAAACAAAGCAATTGCTTTAAAAAAATTTTTTTTTTAAAGATTTTAGGGAAACCTGGGTGTGGTTTGAGTCAATGCTAACAATTTACATTTATGCAGAAGCTAACAAATAGAATGAGTCTGACAGTTTGGGGAACTAGTGAGTCCAGGCAGCAGCACACTGAGCTCACTCTGCAGTCTTCTGCGTGTGTTGTGGTGATGAAATGTTTCAGGTTGACTTTGGGTTTTACCCACCCTCCCCGAGTTCCCGATGAGGTGTACTTAACAGTCTCAAATGGGTACACTTTTGTTCCTGGTTAGGAGCGTGTTACAGCCTGCCAGAAGCTAAAAAGAGCCCAATTCAAACCTGAAAATGCTCTGTGACAGTTACCTTCACTTATCTAGAGCTATTGGATGTGGAGTGACCCAGACACAGTGGCGTCACTCACCCTCAGAGGACAGAGACGGTGCTATGACAGAAGTCAAAACCTGACCACTTTCTCTTTCTAGGACATCCCTGAGGCCTCAGACCTTCTATGATGGAAGTCACTGCGGCGCCAGAGGAGTGTGTCACATCCCAATGGCTGAACCGTTTTGCCCCAAAACAAGAGAGGTTTGTAGTCTCTGAGAGATAGACCCGAATAAAGTATAAGGTCTTGGCGTGCTATCTATCTGCTGTAGTTGGCCGAGTAGGAATTCGTCTTCCTCCCTCAGCTTTAGTTTTGAAATGCAGTGGCTTCACGGGGAATTATTTCCCGTTGCTAATAATACCTCCACTCTCAGTTATTTTAAGCAGAAACATACTATCTGCCGAGCCATCTCTCCAACCCCAGGAAGGTTTCTAGTGAAACTTTAATGTTTCTTTAAAAGAAAAAAAAAAACAACTGTGTATGGCCTTACAGTAACAAGTAATGAATGCCCAGATAAGTCGGTCTCTGGACAGAAAAATTCAGGACAACCATTCTCATTTCACCATATGGCCTTGGAGGGGCAGCAAGCTAAAGAAAAATGACTTTCTACAAAGCTTTCCAGAAGGCCACAGAGTCTGTGGCTATACAGCCCTGCACCTTGGAACCTGGCACCTGGCCGACACTTTGATCTGTACGTGACAAGTGATACCTTAGCTGAGCAAGTGTGATGGAAATAGAAACCTATGACACACGTCCAGACTAAAGCCTGACTTAGCCTTTCTAAGTTCTTCAAAGGGGAATGAGATTCAAGTACATAAATCCAAATCTGCTGTTTTCTGTAAAAGCTATGAGCTATGTGTGCAGCGGACCTGGACAGTAGGAGTGTGTGGGTATGGAGCTAGACGGTATCTTTCTGTGATCTAGGTTTCCCCTAAGAGTCTGCTATAGGTGATTAGTTTGCTAAGCATCATAGAGAAATAAAATCTTATACCACATGTAGGTTTGTGTGGTTTGAGACTGGTTCTTCCTTTCTCAGGTCCTCATAGAAACAGCTAAGAAGCTTGGACTTCGATGCCATTCAAAGGGAACAATAGTCACAATTGAGGGACCTCGTTTCAGCTCTCGGGCAGAAAGCTTTGTATTCCGCACTTGGGGTGCGGATGTTATCAATATGACTACAGTTCCAGAGGTGGTGCTTGCCAAGGAGGCTGGAATTTGCTATGCAAGCATTGCCATGGCAACCGATTATGATTGTTGGAAGGAGCATGAAGAAGCGGTGAGTGGGAATCTCCTCTGACCATGTGTGGTATGGGCTTCTGGGTGCCGTGAGTTGTTAAAAGAATGTCTCGTTGATTTTCTTTGGATTCATCTTGGGAAGGGCCTTTCTACTACAGCATTTTTAAGTTTTCGTTAGGCTTTATAAGATATTTCCTGTAGTCCCTATTAGAAGATAAGATCTTCCATGGGGGGTAGGGGGGTGCTTATCTGAGAATCAATCATGATTGACATTGTAGGTATGTAGATGTGTTGAGAATCATTGAGGCTTGGGCCTGCCTTTAAAGGTAAAGATGTACTTTGAGTGTGATTTCCTTGTGCTATTGTTTATTCTGTTTATTTTCATGGAGAAAGAGATCCTAGTAAGAAAACCCCGAGTCCCTATCCTGTTCACTGCACTGTGGCTGGATGCTGTGCTCAGCCTGAGACTGTGCCAGCAAATACATGTTCTTTAAGGAGCCAACATCCTGTTTGTGGAAGATGGAGGTTATCTTAGTATATTCAGAGGTTTTGTCCATTGTCATCATGGTAGGGAGAATGGCAGCACACAGGTAGATACGATGTTGGCAGATAAATGCTGATCCCCAGGCAACAAGAAGAGAGCCACTGGGCCTGCCTTGGGCTTCTGAAACCCCAAAGCCACACCTAGTGGCACACTTCTTCTAACAAGGCCATACCTCCTAATCCCTCTCAAGTTCCACTCCCGGATGTCCAACCATTCAAATATTTGAGCCTATATATATATATATATATATATATATATATATATATATTCCTACTCAAACCACCACAGAGGCTAAGCAAAGGGTTATGAAGGAATAGTGCTGAGTTTTACGAGTTGCCTGGACCAAATATTTAAATTCTGTGAGTGCTGCTTGGAAGTGTGATGAGAAAGATGGGCAGGATTGAGAGGCACCCAGAGGAGGGAGAAGTGGGGAGAGGGCAGGATGAGCTATGGCAGGGCCGTGGACTGTGGTAAGGATTGCAAACAAGTTGATGAGGGATACTGGACAGGGAGCAGAGCAAGGCCCAGCCAGGACTTGAAGGTCCTAGAACTGATGTTGGGCCTCCCAAGACAACATTTTCATCATGGAAAGCGTCAGCTTCAGTGAAGCGGTAACCCTGGTTCCACCAACCATGGCCACACATGGCTCTACGCACTCCTCCCTCCCCACCCTCTTTTGAAGGTAAACATTTCCTAAAAGGTCTCTTAATTCAAAGCGAAAACGTAACTGTACCACGATTTGTTCAAAGAAGTGATATTTCTTACCGAATCTCTAGACTATTGGCAGTTTTCTTCTGATCACAATTTTTTTTATCAGCTTGATCAAATCAAGATCTCTTGTTTTGTCTTGTGTGTTAATGATAGGCCTGTACAATCTCCTTTATTAACTCTTTCCTCAGTACCGAGAATTGGGCCTAGGGCCTTGCATATGCTAAAGTACTCTGTCACTGAGCCATGTTCTTAATCTGCTTTTTTATTTTGAGTCAGGCTTTCACTAAGTCTCCCATCCTGGCTTGAACTTGGTACTTCCTCTGCTTCTGTCTCCCAAGTAGCTGGAATTACAGGCTCAAGTCACCAAGGCCCTGCCAGGCTTTTTAAAATGGAGAAGTTAAGAAAAACCATGAAAGAATTTTAGAAGTATAGGGGGTGGGTGAGCACATTCATTTGGAGGTGTTGACTCTTCTAGAGGGCTGCTGTCTCAGAGAGCACCTCTCTCTCCATCTAGTTATACACAAAACAGTGTCACATGGTCTTGTCATCTGTCTGCCCATGTGTGGGTGTTGGGCAGCATAAATGAATCCCACTTCTTTGGTTTTATCACTGTGTATTTATAGGAGAGTTTTGAGGCTGACTGTATCTGGCTTGGCAGCATTTCGAGCTACACCCAGCTTCACGATGTAGAGAAGCTGCTTCCAATTAATGGGGAACATTAGCTCCCATCACTTCCTGACAGCAAATTGCTTCCTGCCGGAAATGGTCTGCTCAGTCTCAAGTTAGACGCCTCCTCTAAGGTGGTTGTTATGCCAGCTGGGGGCTGGAAAGCAGAGGACTAAGTTCTGCATGTGGTAAGGACTGACAGTCATGTTGGGCGCCACAAGAAAGACACACACAAACACGGCATCCACTCAAACAGCCATCCATGTCATTGTGCTTTAAACAGATGTGCAGCTGACATGACAGGGTTCCGGAGTGGTCTAAACTCACCTCAGTTTCCTTGTGACACTCCACAAGTTATTTAACTCGATTTCTCTGAAATGAAGCCAGGACATGGAACAGGGGGGTGGGAGTGATTTCATTATGACTCTGACCTTGGACAGGAGGTTTCAGCTAGTCCATGTGGCAGGGAAGACTGTCATGGCAGCTCCTATATCACACTCAGGTAGCAAAGAGAGCTAGAGTCAACAAGGACGGGGCAGTCCCTTTCCAAGACCCTCATCCCAGTTACCCATCAGGCAGCAACCTCCTCGAGCAGTGGTTCTCAACCAGCGGGTCGTAACCTTTCATCAGGGTTGCCTAAGACCATCAGAAAACACAGATATTTACATTATGATTCATAACAGTAGCAAAGTTAACAGTTAAGAAGTAACAACGAAAATAGTTTCATGGTTGGGGGCCACCACAACATGAGGAACTGTATTAAAGGGTCACAGCATTAGAAAAGAGAGGTAACAACTGTTCACACTGAGGAGGAGCAGGAATCCAAGAAGGGTCAGAATTCAGGGCCTGAGTACAACCTTCAAAAGCCCAGTCCACTACTAGCCTCTTTTGTCCACTACAACCTGCCTCTTAAAGAGTCCACAGTCTCTCAAAACATGAGCCTGTGGGAGGCATGCCAGAGTCAGACCATAAGTGGTTAGGAGAGTGCTGATTCACAGGAGTGTGTTATCACAGTCACTCCATGGAGTGGGCGTGCAGAGAAAGTAACCTTGGCGGTTTGTGCCCCGCCTCTATGTGAGGGTTAGGTTGTTGCTGTGAGTCACAGGGTCAATAGGAAGGGGATTTTGAATGGAGCCCAGCAACAGGAACAAAGAAACGAGAGGTCAGAGTCCCATGAAAAGTATTTGGAAACGAGTATAAATAAATGGTAAGTCTCTGGCTGCCATAAGCCCCTGCATCTAATGGCTCAACTTAAAATGCACCTTCCCATGTGTGCCACACTGTAGCAGAGCTTCTGCTCCTGTGGTACCCACATTTTCTCACCACATTCTTGGTGTTTGTAGAAGCCATCTGGAGGAGGAGACACAAAGATGTAATCATGTGTCCCTGAATAAAGCAAGGCAAGGATTCTGGGCCTGATGGTCAGCTTCCCCTTTAGGAACCAGTCATTCATACACAAGGGTAGATAATAGCATGAGCACTTAGGAGCCCAGACACCTTCTTTAGTCATCAGGCCAGTTTATGCCCAGTACTGTTCATCTGTGCTTCCATAATTTTAATTCAGAAACATTGCAGGAAGTAGTTAAGTAATTAAATGATAATTGTTATTTCATATGCGCGAGCAAAATTGTAGTTCCTAGTTGAATATCCTAAGTGACATGCTCACACACACACTAGAGTTTCTGAGATCCAATTTAGGGCCTAATTTATTCTGGGTTAGCATTCTCCCACTGAGCTACATCCCTAGTCCTCAACATGATCTTTTTCTTGTAAAGAAACTAAGATGCCAAGCATAGTTGGTACGTGTCTGAATAGCAGTACCTGGCAGGGCAGAAGCAGGAGAATCATGAGTTTGAAACCAGTGGGAGCCTGCCTCATAAAATAAAATAAAAAACAAAACAAAACAGGGCGAGGAAGAGGTAAAAGGAAGCCAGGGACCAAATCAGGGCCTTGTCCTGTTGAGTCTCCCACACTCTGGTTGCTTCAAGCTTCATCTTGATAGCATGTGTCTCTGTCACATATTGGAAGCTGGGTCTAGACACGGAAGGGAAATTGAGCATCATGATACTATTTTGTGACAGGAAACACAGAATGGGTTAGAATTTTTTTTCTGTCCTGGTGTGTTTTTTTCCTGGTGTGTTTTTTTCTTTGGGCTCTTGGGTTTAGTTTGTGGTGTTAACTTCCGGTTCATGAACTAGGAGTCATAAAAATGATGATACCTTGATTCTTTTGATTTTTTTTTTTTTCCTTAAAAATAAAAAAGTGCTCTTAGAATACTTAGCTCATGTTTGGTTATCCAGTACAGCAAGTTTTAGGCTGGAATTAGTTTTTCTATGTACCAGAAACAGGGGTGGGGTAGGGGTGGGTGGGTGCTGCTGCTACTCCTGGATATCTGTGATGTTTCCTCAGGCTTTTCGGAAATAGAGTTGAGGTTCTCTAAGGCCTTTCCCCTAAGATGAAGAGCAGTGTTTGGGCTCGGGGGACTGAATTTGGAGTGAGCAGACTTTACAGCACAGGTCTGTTTTTGTCTGTTCAGGTAGCTATAAGAAAATCCCATTAAAAGTAGCTCTTAGACGGGGGGAAAAAAAAAAAGCCTTGTTTTTATAGTTCTGCAGGTTAGGAACTCTAAGAGCAAGACTGACTGGCTCTCTCTGGCGAGGACCCATCTTGTAGTCGTATTCTCACTGAACCTCACATGACACGTAATGTGTCTTAGTTACTTTTAAAATGCTGTGATAACCATAATCAAGACATTTTATAGAAGAGTTTACTGGATGTGTACACTTCAGAGGATGAGTTGCTGTCCATCATGACAGGAAGTATGGGAGCAGGCGGGTAGTTATGGCCCTGGGCCCAGTAGCTGAGAACATACATCTTGGTCTGAAAGAGTAAGGCAGGGAGAGCTACAGTGCCCCCCAGTGACACACCTCCTCCAGCAAGGCCACACCTCCTTATCCTTCCCAAACAGTTCCACCAACTGGGGACCAAACATTCCCAACATATGGGCCTATGGGGGCATCCTCGTTTAAGCCACAGCAGCTGGTGTGGGGGGCTCACTGTGATACCAGACCCCATTCCTAAGAGCACTGCTGGCCTGACCTAATCAGTTCCCGAGTCCCCCTTCCTGACACCCTCTCAAAGGAGGATGAGGATCCTAAAGAGGAGTTTGGAAGGGACGCAAACATTGACACCATAGCAAAACAGGGACTTGGTTGGGTAAGTTATTCTGTGAGAAGCAGTTCATGCGAATAAAATCCTGTGCTCTTCTTTCTCAAGGTGTCAGTGGATGGGGTTTTAAAGACCATGAAAGAAAATGCCAACAAAGCCAAAAGTTTACTCCTTACTACCATACCTCAAATAGGGTCAATGGAATGGTCAGAAACGCTCCGTAACCTGAAGGTGAGTGGCCTCACACCCGTAAGCAGCCACTTCTGTGGCTTTCACCACGTTTTCTCTTGCTTTCACTTCAAATCTGGGTCCCTCTCCTTGTGCAGCTTGTGCGAGTCAGCATTTTGTTGTTTTCGGCAATTTTTCATGCCTTGATTACTGCTGCCTCTACTGACTGGGAGTGCCTGCACCTGGGGTGGGAGGTTTGTTAGCTAGTGTCCCGGGTTCTGTACACTGTCCTGGAGTTGCCTTTATGTCTTGGTTCAGAAGGCTGGTGTGCTCCATATATATGGCTCCTAGCATTTTCGCCTCTTTTCTCTTGGGTAGGTTCGTACAGGGTGTAGACAGACAGGCCTTTGCTGCCAATACTTCTACTATGTCAAACAAAACGGTAGCGGGAAATGTGTTACATGAAACTAAGACAGTTAATAATGATAAGCAGATGACAAGTTGCAGATTGGTAGATTTTCAACTCCAGTATTCATCCTAAGGATATAATTTAAACCGACTGGGAAGCTTAGAAAGGGTCATTTTTATTTGGACGTTTTGTGATTCTTGATGAACCAGGGTAGCAAGGAGCCTTAAGCTTCAACTTCCCCTTATATCTAAAGAGGAAGTACCTCCAGGTGTCCTCAAACATATCTGTACTCTTAGATACCTTGACAGTAACTGACAGGGCATGGGACAGGTTGATAGAAGCTGTCCCTACCTGAATTACCACCTAAGAGCTCAGGAATGAGCCACAGTTTCAGTATGGTGGAAGCATTGTGCAGTGGTGAGTGATTAATAGTGTTTTCTGTCTCGCGTGGAATGCTTCAGAGCAGCCAACATGAAGCCACCCCGGAGTTAGAAAGTGGCACCCGTGAACTGGCGCAAACAGGCTGCAGCACCCCGCTGTGACCATAGGGTCTCAGACTTTAGGACTGGGAAAGCCAAGGAGGTTATAAATCATAACGTCTTCCCTGAGAGGAGACAGCCCTACCTGTTTCTACACTGGATACCTTGGAGATAAATGTTTATTTAATGAGTACGTAAATTTCCTCCCATGAAGTATTCTCTCACGGCTGAGGTAGAAAATGACCTTGTAATTTTCCTAACTTGAGGCGGGGCACAAGATAAAAAATCTACCAATTACAAAGTGATGGTTTGAACTACTAAACAGTTTCTTACAAACCAATGTCTGAGTGGCCTGACTTGAGTTCCTCTGTGGCCACTTCTGAGTCAGTGTTGGACTCACACGATAGAATCCAGTTTCGAACTTTGCCGTCTTCCTGCTGACCTTCCGCTCACTATGGTTTCACACACCAAGTCAGTTCCTTAAAAAGAAATCTGAGACATGCTCAGACATGTATAAATCTGTAAAACGAATCTTAAAAGGTCTTATTAATTGAAAACCTGGAGTCAGATGTTGGGGTAAATTCCAACATCTGAGACAGAATAAGAGAGACAGAATAAGCCACAGCCAGTCTCACTTTACCAACTCCTCAGCTGGTCCTGGTTCCTCAGACTGAAAGCCTCTGAGTCCTCATCCGCACAGATCTCAGCTGAACTGCTGCTGAAAGCCTCAAAGCTTAACAAACCCTAGTTTCTGGTCCTCAGGCCTTATATACCTTTCTGCTTCCTACCATTGGTGTGTGTCCTTCCCAAGCAAGACATGAGATCTCAAGTGCTGGGATTCAAGGTGTGAGTCACCATGCCTGGCTGTTTCCAGTGTGGCCTTGAACTCACAGAGATGCAGACAGATCTCTGCCTAACCTCTATGTTTAATGTAGTGGCTGTTCTGTTCTCTGACCCCCAGATAAGTTTATTGGGGTGCACACTATATGAACCATATAAATCAGTGATCTTTTTTGAAGCTGATGTATGGTTTTGCAAGTATGCACTTTAAAGTGGGTTAATAGACAAAACTGAGTGCTGAGGTCTCCATTCTGGAATAATAAGGAAACCAGTACTAATAATTCTTGCCCTGAATCATGTTTTCAGTCATCAAAGCACTGAAATGTGTATCATTCATTCACTCACTAGTTCATTTCAGAAGCGCCCGTTTACCTATTGTGTATCGAGCTCCAAATGAGAACAAACCCCGGCTGTAGGGCATGGCAGTATGTGCCTTTAATACCAGCAGAGGCAGGCAAATCTCTGAAGTCAGGGACAGCATAGTGAGTTTCACGGCAGCCAGGGCAACATAGTGAAATCCTATCTCCAAAACTAAGAAAATGTAGAATACCCCAAGACTCCCAGTGATGGTGAATTGCCAATTGAGACACAGTAAAACTTCAGTGAGCTTACAGTGATGTAAGGATAAGGGATAGGGGTTGTGTGAATGCTAATTCAGGCTGGGAGAGGGTGTATACAGTACGCCCTAATGCCTGTCAAAGTGGAGGGACATGGGTGATTCTCAGAGCAGTTCCCTTAGATGAGCAGTACCGACCTCACTTGTCGGGAAGAAAAGGAAAAACCAAGAGTTAAAAGTTGCTCCTAAAGTCCCATGTCTGGTTAGTGTTGTTGCTATTTTGTTTTGTTTCTCCGTCAACATTTTTAGAATGTATGTATGTATGTATGTATGTATGTATGTATGTATGTATGTATGTAGACGTTCATTCTATAATGAACATGTGGGGGTTAGAGAACAGCTTGTAGGAGCTGATTGTGGGGTCCCACTATGTGGGTCCCGGTGATTGAACTCAAGCTATCAGGCTTGGTGGCGAATACCTTTACCCCCGGAGCCGTCTGGCCCGTCCTCATGAGTGGTTTTTAAATTTTGGTGAACACAGGAATTATCTGGAGAGTTAAATCAGTATATGCCCCATGAATCCTTACTATACTCCACAAAAATCTCAATGTTTTTTCTTGTTGTTTTCATTTGTGGTTTCAACTTGTGTTGGGGTCGTTGGCATGCTCTCTACAGCCTGTAGCTCTTCATCTCTACTTCCTTCCTTCCTTTCAGAACATGGCCCAGAGTTCTGTTTTACCGCCAAGACATTAAAACAGCATGGCCACCACGAGGAGACTTACTACTTCTAGTCTTTGGGGGATTTTGCTTAAACAAAAACAGGGCAGCTATGTGGTCTTCATGCCTTTGCCTGGAAAGAAGAACATAGGAAGAGAGGCATTGCACTCCAAGATACCCACACCTCCAGAACCCAGAAGGAAGACAACGGCCTGCAGAAATGAAAGAGAACAAAGCAAGCCCAAACCTTGTCAATCTTGTTAAACTGACAACAGTGAAGTCTGGCGAGAACACCCATTTCCCTGCACTGCCGACGCAGGGATATGAGCTGGAATCGGGACTGTAGGGTTGTAAATTGGCGCCATCTTTCGGAAGGGCAGTTTGGTACAATGCATCTGAGGCTTAAACATACTTAATGCACTTTGGTACGCGAGGACTTTCTCTTTAAGGAGTTAGGGGAGATTCAAAGAATCACATGTAATGGCTGTTACCTGTCATCACAAAATACTCAAAACATTCTGAATATCGAGAAGTTGGGTGGATGTAACATGTTTCCGTTATACTTAAGCTATGAAGCAATCAAGTGGTAATCATGTTTTCTCATGAAGAAATGGTCACTTCATGTTATGAAATGAGGAAAAAAGGTATAAGCATTTATGATTCTGTTTTTTTGTTTTAAATGGTGTGTAAATGTTCAAAAAAAAAGACTAGAAGGGAATATACATAACCCTGTTACTGTATTTGTGAAGAGATACTGAGTAATTCTTATTTTCTTTTAATCTTTTTTCTCTACTTTTTTTAAAAGTACGTGTAATCAAATAATAAAGTTGTAAAAATTAAAATGGGCTTAGAGAAGTCAAATTCTTTGAAACTCTGGGTGGTGAAACAAAATGGCAATATAAAAGAAGCTCTGTGTGTGTGATTTAGGATATATAAGCCAAATCTCATGCACGCGCGCACGCACACATGCACTTAAAAAACAAAGTGCTATGTGAGGAACTTATATCTTTGCTTAGGATAGATCCTTGGGATTGTAACGGAGAAGGCGGGAGTTTAGTGCTAAGGTGCATCAAAGTCAAACTTCTTCAAGGATTAAGTTAGTGTGGTTCGTTACTGTATATCAGATATTTTTACGTTGCCATTTTTTCTACTCCTCTTTTAAGAGTTGACACATTATCAGTTGGCAATGTTTTGTTTTGAGAAAGAAAAAAAAATAAGGAAGGAACCGGAAGCCTAATGTTTTGTTTTGGGTGCTTTTTGTTGTCTTCCATGGGGAAATCGTAGTGTTTTCCTCAAGTTCCTACCATTAGAGGTGCCCCGGGACTCTTGTAAAGAGTCTGCAAAGTGAATGCGCTTGTGTCTGAAACCGACCTCAAGAAAGAAAGCTGCCGGTTATAGGCGATAAGTGAACCAGTTGCTCCAGCATTCATGTTGAGCTCCCGGTAAGTGCGACAGTAACCTGGCCATGTTGCAGAGCTTCCAGCTGGTGATTAGCAATCCATGGAGACTCCACGGGTCCTGACCAGGGCTCTTGGCTGTTTTTACTTCACTGCAGTGTGGACACTTCTTTCCTTCACTCTTAGCTGTCATCTGAAAGTGTCACGTTGGGGAACGGGCGTTTGTCTAGTTGCCTTTAGAAAATACGGTTCTCTCCAATGTGGAAAAGGGATTTTCTTCAGTGACCTTTTCTAACATCATCATAGCAGGCTCCTTTTCTTTTTCTTTAATCCTTCATTGTGATACAAATTGCTGTGGGATGTTCTGTATGGCAAATGTGTTGCTGATTAGTCAATAAATAAAACACTGATTGGCCATTGTTCATGAAGTACCCAGAACAGAAGAAACTGGGGCTTCCAGTTAGTAGATTTTGAGTTGTCTGACATATACCTAAAGGACAACTGTTTCGTTTTGAAAATAGGTCTTCTCCAAATTCACATATAGAAAGCTAATTCATTGTGCAGTAGTATCAAGGAATGGAGAGTTAGTAGGTCATGAAAGTCCTTAGATGCCCCCTGGGAAGTAGCAGGAGCCTTGATATTGGACTTAACCTCTCCATAACTATGAGCAATATGTTTTTATTTGTGTTTTCCCATGTAAAATATTTTGTTATAACAGCCCAAATGGACAAATTCACTGGCCAACAAAAAAGTTGCACGTCAGTTTAAACTGAACAGCCATGAAAAGAAATAGAACCACAGTTGTATTTTCCCATTTCACAGAATTCAACAGGGAACTGAAAAAGAGACTTGGTAGGTTTTTGTTGTTGTTGTTGTTGTTTGTCTTTTGTTATTTTTCCAAACGGTTTCTCTGTAACAGCCCTGAGTGTCCTGGAACTCACTCCGTAGACCAGGCTGGCCTTGAACTCACAGATCTCTGCCTACCTCTCTAACTTTGGAGTACTAGGATTAAAGGCGTGTGCCACCACAGCCCAGCCACTAGTTTAAGTATTTTAGTGCAAAGCTTTTTTTCTTTCCCAGAATTAAAAAAAAAAAAAAAGAAAGAAAGAAAAGAAAAAAACAAACAAACAAAACATGATTTAATTTCATCTGGAGAAATTTAAAAGAAAAATGTGTCACCGTTTTCCAGCTCTGCCCTCGGTTTTATGAATGATTGTAAGTCTTCACATCGGAATGTGATGATGTATTTGTTGGTGGTTCTCTTTGTAACTCCACTTTAGTTTAGAAACTCATTCCCTGTGAAAATCAGGATCCCAAAGCTAAAGCAGTAATAGGAACTTCAGATATTTATAAAAATTTCAAGACTGCTGTGCCAAATCCCAACTGTGCTGGTCAACTTGACACAAACCTAGACTTCTGGGAAGAGGAAATGCCCCCACAGGACCTGTAGGCAAGCCTGTAGGACATTTTCTTGATTGGTGATTGCTGTGAGAGGGCCCAGCCCACTGGATGGTACCGTCCCTGGAAGCTGGAGAACAAGCCAGTAAGCAGCACTTTCCCTGGCCTCCTTCACTTCCTACTTCTCCTTCCCCTCGGTGACGAGTGTGGCCTGTGAGTTAAAGCCTGAAGAAGAAAATCCTTTCCTCCCCAAGTTGTTTTTGGTCCTGGTGTTTTATCACAGCAACAAAAGAGTAAGGAAGACACCAACCTACTGCCCAGTTTGTTACATTCATTCATTTGTTTGGGAGGAAGAGAGGCATATGAAACTCAGGGCAACTTTCAGGAGTGGATTTTCTCTTTCTTTTTTTTTTTTTTTGGTTTTTCGAGACAGGGTTTCTCTGTGTAGCTTTGCGCCTCTCCTGGAACTCGCTTGGTAGCCCAGGCTGGCCTCGAACTCACAGAGATCCGCCTGGCTCTGCCTCCCAAGTGCTGGGATTAAAGGCGTGCGCCACCACCGCCCGGCTGGATTTTCTCTTTCTTACATGCCGATCCCAGGGATTGGTCTCAGGCTGTCAGGCTGAGGCCTCTCGCCATCCCTCATCACCCTGTTTCAGAAATTATAACTTTATAATCTATAATCCCACCTATCACTTCTATGTTAATTTGAGGTATTTTCATATGTTACATCTTTGAGGATTTCAATGCTACTTCTAAAGGACATATTTTTAAGGTAGTCATAGTAACACTAGCATAGAAATGTGAATTATAATTCTTTAGTCTCAGCAATTGTGGGGAGACCCTGTCTCAGAACAACAAACAACAGAAAGACCCAATAAGGACTGACTGGGCATGTAGCCCAGTGATAATACTGCTTGTGTGGCATATACAAAACCCTGAGTTCACTACCAGGACCCCCTAAATCTAATTAAATCCCACGAATTTCAGTTGGCCAACAGGTGTTTTGTTATTCTATCAATCTAGATTCTCTCTTCCCTCTGTTACATTAATTGTCTCTTTGCTGTCATCAGAGAAGCTTCTTATAGTAGGTGTCAGTTAACAGACAAAGTCAAGGGGCAGAGACTAAGACTGGAGTGCCCAGCTCATCATAAATGGGACATCTCTGACACACGCACGCATGCACGCACGCACCCCAATCCTCAGAATATGGTATTTGGGACAACCTGCATCCATGTATTTTTATTTGACTGCAGGATAAAATATCTCATGTTCTTTATGATACAGTAGAGTTCAGATGGCACTAAGATAATCCGTTCAGTACTCAATGAAAGATTGTTAGCTAAGATAAGATTCCTGTGTTCAGCTAATCTGCCTTGTGAAAAATTGAAGATATTCTGAGATAAAAACAGAAATTGTATTGCTTCCTGAGCCTCCTTGTAAGACATTCTAAATCAACATCCTTCAGGTTGAAGGTCAGTGAGTGACCCATCGAGTAATTCACCTCTACCCTCTACTAAACACTGGTGAAGATAATCATAGAATTATAAGACAGCATAAAATGCAGCCAATTTTAAATGAACAACAGGAAAAGTATGGTGTATTGTATTCTTCGGCCTGTGCCACATAGAAATGTCATTTATTTACTGATAACATAAAACGGCAGGAATAAAGTTCTGTGCACTTAGGACTGCTTCTGATGCTAACCCATATCCATAAGAACAAATGAAGACCACAGAAATGAGAAACACGAAGGTTAATACCACAAGAAGTGTAAATGTAAACGTCCTCTCCTCATGGCCAGCTTAAAAGATGGGCCATAAATAGTTCTAAAAATGTGCTGTTTAATTTGTAACATTCATTTCCCTATAAAACATCACATCCAGCCGGGCGGTGGTGGCGCACGCCTTTAATCCCAGCACTCGGGAGGCAGAGCCAGGTGGATCTCTGTGAGTTCGAGGCCAGCCTGGGCTACCAAGTGAGTCCCAGGAAAGGCGCAAAGCTACACAGAGGAACCCTGTCTCGAAAAAAAAAAAAAAAAAAAAAAAAAAAAAAAACATCACATCTGTGTTGAAGATTTGTGAACCAGTTGACTGATGAGAACTTCACGACTGGAAAACTGAAATGGTACAGATAATTATCAGATAGTGCCTGAAACCTGTAGCAGAAATTTCCCTGCCGCCTGTGACCCGCCCAGTGATGTGCCCGCTATTGTGTTTGGTAAATGCCTTAGCATATGACTTTTTTTTTCTGACACTATAAAGGTTCATGTATCCTCTCCCACAGTTGAGCCATGACATTCAAAGTAACCAGAATCCATGTTCCTAGGCCATGGCCATGGTCACTCATATTTGCCTTAAAACACTGATTCTCAACCTTCCTTATGCTGTGACCCTTTTAATACAGTTCCCTCATGTTGTGGTGACCCCCAACCACAAAATTATCTTTGTTGCTACTTCATAACTAATTTTGATACTATTATGAATCATAATACAAATATCTGATATGCAGGTTATCTGATGTGGCCCCTGTGAAAGGGTTATTTGACTCCCTCCAAAGGGGTCGTGACCTGCTGGTTGAGAACTGCTGCTTTAAACTTCCTTTTGAGGAAGAGCTGTGTCTTGTAATCAATATGTTTAACATATATAATGATAATGAATGATCAAAAACTAGAGTAAGAGTAATGTTTTGGCTATTTTATTTGGTTGGTTGGCTTTTTAAACAACCCAGGACTGCCTGCCTCATTAACCAAGAAAGACTTGCCTACAGGCCAAACTGATGGGGGCATTTTCTCAGTTGAGATTTCCTCTTCCCGAATAACCATATCCAGTGTTAGGTTGACAAAAGATTAAACTAAGTCCAGCATTATTCTTACTGGGAAACTGAAAAATCATCCCTGTCTTGAATAAGGCAGCCTGAGGTTCTGGATGCCTTCCCTAAAGTATCTTTTCCCAAGAATGAGGCAGAGGCCAGAAGTATAGATAAGCAGATTTTTGATAAAGTAGCATTAGAAAGATAACAGACTGGAGAGTCAAGGTGGGCACATCAGGAAAA